AATCATAACTATTATTGTACATACAGTGCACTCGCTTTTTCCAATTTCATGATAAAGTCTTACATCACTTGGAAAGTTTTCCGTGCATGTGTGATGACTAAGCAATTAATAAATGACCCAGTTAAAGAACAGTGTAAAGTTCAGTGTAGCACCTCCATAGCCTCCATTTTATTTAAATTAACTTTTCCTTTATTTGGGGGGGGGGACTTCCAAATAACACTTGATAATTGTGTTGTTTCTAGATATGTGTGGTGTAAACTTGGAAGCATGTCACTTGTTATTCCAAATGAAAAGAGACATTTAGAATTCCCAGTAGTAATTGTGAATAATAAAGCAGTTTTGATCGCGTTACATTTATCAAGTGAAGATGTTGAACTATGACAAAAAAAACAGAACTACAGTTGCATCATCCTGCTGACTCATCTGTATTCTTGTTACTCCCCTTCTTGTTCCAGTATGATGTTGTGCCCATTCAGCCCAATGCTGTCATCTGTTCCTGCTCACATTCATCAATGGTAAGAAACCACCCTGACTCCTGCTCGCCACTTGCTATCCCAGGCGCAAGCAGCATGGAGGGCTCAGCCCCACAGGCGTGTGCCGTCGGAGCAACTGGCCGCGGCGGTCAGAGCTCCGACGAGCGCGCACAGCCAGCCGTCCAGGTGCCCCAGCCGCGCAAGAAGAAGCCAGAGGACTTCAAGTTTGGCAAAATACTGGGAGAGGGCTCCTTCTCAACGGTATGCAACTATTTGACTCTTACAGCTTTTGAGTTATTCCAGGGTAGATGTTACTACATGTTGGCATTCTTTTGATTAATGCTCTTAAGTGAGTCATCCTGAATTCATTTAAGGTGAATTCACAAATGGTTCCAAGGACTTTTTTTTTCTCCCAGGTTAAACAAACTACTAGCTTAACATAATGTTTTCCCTCTTTCTCTTTTCTTTAAGGTTGTCCTAGCAAGAGAGCTGGCCACAGGGAAAGAATATGCAAGTAAGTATCAGTGCAACGGCTTTTATCGAAATGGAAAAGATGTTCAGGTTTACTTATGTTGTTGTTTTTTTTCTTTCTTCCAAAAGTTAAGATTTTAGAGAAGCGCCACATTATGAAGGAGAATAAAGTCCAATATGTGAAAAGAGAAAGGGATTTGATGTCTAATCTTGATCATCCATTCTTTGTAAAACTCTACTTCACATTTCAAGATGATGAAAAGTTGTGTATCCTTTCAAAATAATAATCACTAAGCTATAAGCTATCAGATGAACTGTTTTTTTGTTTGCCTCCAAACAGATTTTTCTTAACTGGTTTTTGTAGATTTTGGTCTCAGCTATGCTAAGAACGGTGAGCTCTTGAAATACATTCGCAAAATTGGTTCGTTTGATGAAACCTGTACGAGGTTCTACTCGGCTGAAATAGTTTGTGCTCTAGAATACTTACACAAAAAGGGGATAATTCACAGGTAAGAGTTTCAGTATTGATTATTCATATAAATCGTTTTTCAAGCATTAGTGTCTGTATGCCACACATTTTTATTCTTTTCATTTCAGAGATCTGAAGCCAGAAAATATTCTTTTGAATGAGGAGATGCACATCCAGATAACAGATTTTGGGACGGCAAAACAGTTATCATCAGATAGTAAACAAGGTATTTCTCAAAATCGCGAGTTTGCTTTTGTAGCTCAAATAAAAAGTACAAGTTGAAGAAACTTGTTTGCTTAAAATTTGGACAAACTTGGGATCTACATCTGTTCAACGTTTATGTTAGACCAGTTATCATGTAACTCAGCCATGATTTATTTTATAATAACTTGCCCTCTTCTACAGAGGTTGTCCAATAAGCAGCTAGTTTTAGAAAACAAAATAACAATGTATCAAAAGCCATGTGTTTCAACAAATTACTTCATACAGATTTGTTATGAATGTAGACTGGCTAGGTCGGCCTGTAGACTGGAGTTGGCTAGATTTGCATACACAWGTACAGAAGCTGAAAATAATCCTTGTTAATACACCTAGGCTTGTCTATTTCTAGTCCAGATGTTTGCTATGAAAAAGATCTATGGTCAAGTTTTGATTTAGCACCTATAAAAACCGAGTTGTTTTGTATTGATGCCTGTTTCATGCTGTAACATGTCTGCTGGATTAAATTAGAAAGTCTGTGCAGTCATGTCATTTTTCTGAGGGTACAGTGGTGCAAACTTAAAATCCATTGATCTCTACGTTCGACAGCACAAAGATGTTTTACTTTAAGTGAAAAAGTTATAACTGTTAAATTGTCAACAATCTTGTTGTGCCCGTCTGATGCAACGACATTGACTTTTCTTTCTTCCCTCTGCAGCGAGAGCAAACTCCTTTGTTGGAACAGCACAGTATGTCTCTCCAGAGCTGTTGACAGAAAAATCAGCCTGCAAGAGGTAATAATGTTTGTGTTTAATTCTTTCAGGTTTGAGGTCTCACCTTTGGAAATGAATAACTGTGCTGTTTTTTGTATTTTTAAAGCTCTGACCTGTGGGCTTTGGGATGTATAATATATCAACTGGTGGCTGGTTTACCACCATTCAGAGCTGGGTAAGTAATAATGAGATGTTGCCAAAATGATATACATTAAAACGTTTTTTTTTTTTTGGCAGAAGGGATGTTGTTGTTAAAAGTTTTAATTTTAGTTGTAATTGTGCAAGAAGTTCAAATTGACCAAACTCTGTGCGACTCACTTCCTAAACAGTATTTTTTTCTCTCTCTGTTGCTTTCTCTCCTGTGTTTCACATGTTGTAGAAATGAGTACCTAATATTCCAGAAGATTATTAAGTTGGAGTATGAATTCCCAGAGAAGTTTTTTCCCAAAGCCAAGGATCTTGTTGAACAACTCTTGGTAAGTTGTCCTCTGCAACTCAGTCCCTTCGAAGTCTGTAAGAATATAAATTGATTATCTATGTGAAATAGCTTATTTGTGGTCAAATGTTTTTGTGTTTAATGAACAATCCTTGTCTCCTTGTCTTGTCTGTTTGTGCTTCAGTCTCTGGACTCATCAAAGCGGCTCGGTTGTGAAGAGATGGGAGGGTATGACCCACTAAAGCACCATCCTTTCTTTGATACCATTTCTTGGAGTGACCTTCACATCCAGACGCCTCCTAAGCTTACACCCTACCTGCCAGCTATGTCTGAAGATGATGAGGACTGCTACGGAAATGTGCGTTGTTATTTTTTTTGCTTTAGGTTTTCATCCATTTTTCACTTATTTAAATAAAAAAAATGCCTTATTGAAAGGTACAAGTGACAGAAAGCGTTAAACATCCCACAAATGTTACACTAACCATCAATGACTCTGTTTTTGTTTCACCACTTGTCACATGATGCCTCTTCAGTATGATGACCTCCTGAGCCAGTTCAGCAACATGCAGGTGGCCCCGTCCATCTCGTCACACTCCCTGTCGCCCCTCGACTCGACACCCCCGCAGAGGTCCAGCAGCAACATCGAACAGTACATCCACGATCTGGACAACAACTCCTTCGAGCTGGAAATGCAGTTCAATGAAGAAGAGAAGAAGTTATTGCTGGATAAACAGACCACTGGAAACCCCTGGTAAACTCACTTTGGCGTCATTGTCAGTGCTAAAGCTTGTTTGTTTAGCTATCTTTCCATATGTGCTGGGGAAAGAAGTGTTAAGAGGAAAAGTGGTGATGTGTTATTGCTTATTTACACAGGCACCAGTTTGTGGAGAATAACCTAATCCTCAAAATGGGTCCAGTGGATAAACGCAAGGTGTGTGTTTATAATTGCAAAATACTTTTATTTAAAGTATTTTCTTCAAGCTAGTAGTTCTCAGGGAAGTCTTTGCTCTGGTTGCTGAAATTGCCCAATCTCAAAGGTGTCACGGCCCCCTCTGTTGGTGAACTCATGTCTTGAAATGTTTGCATTCCTCATCAGGGTTTGTTTGCTCGTCGAAGACAGCTGCTTCTCACAGAAGGACCACACCTGTACTACGTGGATCCTGTCAACAGGGTCCTGAAAGGGGAGATTCCTTGGTCCTTAGAGTTACGCCCCGAGGCCAAGAACTTCAAAACCTTCTTTGTTCACACGGTAATCATTGATTAATTTTTTTTCCTATGGCTGAGCAAATTTTTCTCCAGCAGCCTGTTCATACTTGCCCGTTGTTTGATGTCTCTTTACCTGTGTGGTTTTGTTGTTTAGCCTAACCGGACATACTATTTGATGGACCCCAGTGGAAATGCAGACAGATGGTGCAAGAAGATCCAGGAAGTGTGGAGAAAGATCTATCAAAGGCACCAAAACCCTGGCCTATAGGAGCACAATTTATCCTGTGCCGACTACTTTTTCATTTTCTTTCCTTTTTTTTTCTTTTTTTTTTTTTTTTAGCTCTGAGGCCAATCACTGAGCAGAGTAACACCCTCTTTAGTGCCCTTCACCACAGCAGTGTAAACAAACTCTTNGTGATTGGCTGATTAGAAATTCAGTGTTAACGAGCAGTTGGACAGGTGTACCTAATAAAGTGGCCGGTGAGTGTATATATGGGCTTAAATCTAATCTAAATGTCTCTTGTAGTTACTTGTATTTTATATTTAATCTTAACATAATTACAATCTAATAACCAGGACAACTGTTGGTGGGCCAAATCAAATGGCTTGGCGGGCCAATTTTGGCCTGCGGGCCCCACTTTGGGCACCTCTGCTTTAGTTGAACAACTTTTTAAGTGATGTTTTTGTTACAATTTAGTTGATTTTACCTTTTTTTTCTGCTTATTTACTTGTAACAATTCAAGTAACTATACTAGCTTCTTAATAGAATTACAGTAGTTATTCAGCGTGCACTTTTGAGGGAAAAAAACAACTTTCATTTGACTTTAAACGTGTTTTTACAGTATAAATGGTGTTTGAATATGTACCTTGTTCATTTGAATGTGAAGTGACTACATATTGAAGCGTCAGTAGATCAGGGGAGGACCTCCATGTCTGAAATAATTTATGCATGTCAGTCAGAAGCTGGTGACCCGGGTTAGTGGGAGTGGTTCAGGAGGAGCTGGCAGCCTGCTTTACATGAGTCGTGGCTGCCGTGGCTTCAGACACTTCCTGTGAGGGGGTCTGCGCACAGCGGAGCAGGACAGCCGAAGCGAGGGCGGAGGAGGCGAGGAGAGGAGAGAGGGATGGCAGAGAACAGCTCCGAGACCAGCGGCTCCGCTCACCGGAGATACTCGGCCCATTCTCCTGGAGACAGGAACATTTCAGCCGGTGTCGGGGCATCCAAATGGATACGGCTAAATGTCGGGGGCACGTACTTTTTAACAACGAGACAGACGCTGTGTCGAGATCCGAAATCATTTCTGTACAGACTGAGCCAAGCTGACCCAGAGCTCGACTCTGACAAGGTAAATGCTAAGCTAACTGAGCTAAATTGTCGGGAGCGTTAACTCAGATTTATTTCCCCCCCTCTAAATACGTATTCAATTTTGTTCGAACATTTCAGCGCAGTTAAAACCACTAACATATATGTTTATTATTACTCCCACTTCAAAAGTACTCGTTATTTAAAAAGAAAGTGCTAACTCTAAAAGCTACTGTTAGCCCGATAGCTAGCGAGATTCCAGCAGTCACCACATGACTTGAGAGAAAGCTGCATCACCCAGTTATCTGTTTTTGTCGCAACGTAAAACTACTATTGATATTATCGTCTTAAATAACTGAATAATAGTTATTTGAGTGGTAACACTAGATAAAACTTTTGACTTAAAAAAATATATCTAAGTAGTCTGTCACAGTTGGAAACTTTCCTCTATCCGAGCCGAGGCCGTTTCACTTACTTCGATAATAAACACGTAATGCTCGAGGTTGAACTTCAGCGTGGATTGTGTAAGCCATCTTTGAGTTTGTTTTATGGTATTGTTCAGGCATTTGAGTTTTTAGGCTGGTCACTGTCCTGTTTAGCTCTTGTTTGCTGTGCAATAAGTAGCATGTACGTTATATGTGAAGCCGTGAATACAGAAGAGCATTCATTGGGATGCTGCTGACAACTGAGAGCTCAGGACGAAGTAATTTACCCCCCTAAATGACCCCAATACATCTGCTTCTTAGTTTGACCATCTGTCTATTTTAACAGCAGTCACTGTGTACCTAAAAGACTCCACTGAACTGTGTAACTCATATTACTATGTCTTCTGCTTGTTGTTTATTTTTCCTACACTGCTGGCATTCATTTTTTAAATATCTGCTTGCACAGTAATCCTCACCCTTGCTTTTTCGTGCTAAGATAAAAGCACGGCTCATCTCCTGCTTTCATGCATACATCCTAATCTCTCAATAATCAGCTTGTTTTTTTCCCCCATCAGTTTATCCTCCCTGAGCGATGGATCAGCCCATCTCAAATTCTTGTCTTAAGTGTTCATCAAACACTCAAGCCAAGATAAGAGAGCTTCCACTTCAGGACAGATTATTATTATTGGATATACCACTTGCCACTGGTTCAAGTTATATTTATCAGCATGGTTTCACCTTATTTGAGTATTTGAGCCCAAATAAGCACCTTGGATCTAAACACTAAGACACATTAATCAATAAAAAAGTATTTTATTGGCTTAAAGCATTATTGTGCTTCCCAGAACAGAGAGTAAAGTGGTTCATTTCTCAGTCATGCAGCCTGATGTGCTTCAGCAGGACTCTTGAGGAGAACTGCATTATTCATGCTGTTGACTGGAGCTTGTTTTGCACTTTGGGGGTAGACGGCAGAGAAAGTGGAGGAGGTGCAGAGCCATAATAGCTAATAGTCTGGTGTTTAGAAGTCAGGAGTAATATCGGGATACTATTTTGTTCGTAAGGTTGAAGTAAGTAACTCGTGCTGCTCAATGACAAGCACGTATTGCTTTCAAAATTGTCCCAATTAGCTAAGAAATGCACTTCAGTGAGCATCTATTGCACTGGCAGAGTCCTGCTTGCACACCACTCAGCGCCACTCAAGTAAAAGACTCGGCTCCTTTTTTTTTTTTTTTTTTTTTTTTTTTTAGCTCTGAGGCCAATCACTGAGCAGAGTAACACCCTCTTTAGTGCCCTTCACCACAGCAGTGTAAACAAACTCTTAGAGACGCTGGCATCTAGATCTTGTTTGTTTTCCTGAGTAGATCCAGGGGAAAAATAAAACTTTGGATTCAGGGTTGCTTTGCTTGTTCTTTGTGCTCTCTGTGAGGCTTTTATTGCTTTTTATTTTTTTTTTCTCATGTGTGGATGATAAGACTTCCATTATGCACATCTTCATTTTGTGCATTCTGCGTGGGGAGAGAGATGGGGGTGACAAGCTTGTCTTGTGCAGTGACACAAGCTTGGGTACTGCTAGGACTATCCCAAATGCAAGAACTGGTTTCCTGCTTCATTGATTTAAAAACAAAATCTAGCTTTTCTGAACCAGAGCCTGAATATATATGTTAATTGAACCATATGCTTAATCATACACAAAAAGTGCAAGCTGTAGTAAAGCCCAACTTTTAGAGTGTGTACTCCATAGTTGTAACAGATACTGTAAACTGATTAAGTCTCACACATTTTACCCAACTCTGATCTTTTAATTTTTCTAGAGCCCAGTTATTTCCATCATATTTGCGTTTTTTTTCCCCGTACAGTGTCTTGGTACTTTCTTATCTCAGCCCAGTGAAGTTCTCTGTAACAAAAGCAGAACATTTGTCTGAACCAGTGTGTAAGAGTGAGTTCTCCATAACTGATACTGAGGATGGTTTTGCTAACGGGGCATAAACATGCCACTTGTTGTACTTGCTAATCATAACTCGCTAATCTTTCCTGCATGGCCAGTTTTGTAACCCAGCTTTGTCAGCTTTTCTCTTGGGGCACTGGAGATTTATTTTATTATTATTATTATTATTTTTCCAAGTTTTAAAGGTAGGTATTTTTGACTGCATTGGCAACCTTGGCAAAAAAAAATATTGGTTGTTTTGTACCATTCACTGGCTTTGTGGTGTGAATTCTTCAATTTGTTTTCTTTTTTTTTGGCAAATAGATGGTTCATCTTCAGTATGTTCTATTGAAAATAAAATCTTAAGTGCTGACCACCCCATGCTGAACAGAACACCTCTATCAACCGAGATACGTACACATACTATCATTCTCGGAAGCAATCATCGTGAAAGCTGTTGTCCCCGGACAAGATGGCACTACTGCCTCAGTGGGCTTATTGGCCCATCCATTTTTTGTTTTCATTCTAAAAGTTTGGCCCAATAGAAATTTAAGCGACCGATTTAACACGCTCTTGTTTTAGCAGTATGTATTATCATAATGCTTTTAATTTTTTGACATAGTACCTTAAGGTCCTCTCCGGAGGCCCGCTTCCTTCAGCTGAATCTGTGTGCAGTGTGTGACTGGAGTATTTGTGAACCAAGACCCTGCAGCCCAGGGTATGATGTGGTTGGATGTCAGTTAAAAGACATCCATCTGATCCAAATGACCGATTGAAATTGCTGTATCTGTCTATAAAGTTAAGGAAATGCCAGAAAAGCATTTTCCTCCGAGTAGAAAATTGTTTGAATCAAGTCGATGGCGGTCGGTTACATTGTGTAAGAAATATTCTACTTTGGCATGTAACTGACTAGAACTGTGATGTACAGATGTAATATTGAATCTGAAGCGAGTAATGCAATGATATTAGGATACAGTTTTTGTATTTTTATTCTTGTATAAGGTTATTGAAGGCTATTGTTTAGCCTATAGTTCATTCTGTGTTATTTAAATTCTAATATATGAATCATTTGGATTGAAGTCATGTTCAGGGGCCATGTTGTGTATGTATTGAGATGTAAAGCCTTTGAATGTGAATAATTATTGTAAACTATAATATTTTACAGCTTTTTCTTACTATATCATACATTTTCTATTTGCTCAGTGACTTTAATCATATTCTGATAATTTAATGAATCTGTTCATTCTCGCTCTGATTATTTGTGCGCTAGGTCAGTAGATGTTGAATGATGAATTTTCCACTTAATGCTTGGTAGATCAGTAATTAAAGCATGTAGGGATTTAGGTATTCAAATGAAAACCATGTGTCCTGTCTTCTGTCAACCACCTCAGCCACGACACAGAACAGCGTACAGTGGTGATGACATCTTACATTTTGCAGCATGTAAATAAACCCGTTACCAGTACTGTTGTGTTGTGGGAAATCATTTTATACACAAGATGTGGATGTGTTTGGTTATGATTAATTATGTGAATACTGAGTCATGCTCACTGTTGTTTTCCTGTTTATATGTTCTCTTTACATTTTGTATCAAACTAGTTCCTCACCAGCTACTTTGCTTTTAACCATTCATACATCAAATGTTCACCTCATCTGGGAATAGTGTGCAATGTCTTTTATTATTCATAACTTTTTAATTATTTAACTTTGTTTTTTCCTATTGAAGTCTGCTTTACCTACTTGTTCTGTTCATTTTAGTTTTAACTACTTTATTTATTTTATTGCTAGTTTTAGGTATGGTTTTGCCAGGTTTGCCTTTCAGTAACAACTACTAGGTTTTGCTAATTTAAACATTTAGCTACTGTTTTGTTATATTTAGCTTTTAGCTGCTTTTTTGCTACATAAAGCATTAATTGGTAATGCAAACAAAGAAAAAAATTGCACCTATTTTTTTGTTTTAGCTGCTTTTTCTTTTAGCTACTCCTATGTTAACTTGCTACTTTATTTACCTTTTTTGCTATATTTAGCTTTTAGCTATCATTTTACTAGCATTCACTAATTGAAGCAAGAAATATATTTGCAACAGTTTTATCCTTTTACCTACTCTTATGCTATTTTTTGCTGCGTTTTATTTTTAACTACAATTTTGCTACATATATCAGTGACAAACTGGTAAAGCAAACAAACCAGTTTTGTGATTTTAGCTACTCTTGTGCTAATTTTAGCTTTTAGCTATATTTAGCTTATTTTCTAGCTATTTGCTACATTTAACTTTTTTAGCTAAAAATTTGCTTTAAATAACATTCGTACATACAGCAAAATAACAGAAACTAGCTACTTTTATGCTAACTTTATACTTTAGCTACAGTTTTGTTTTTAGACTTTAGTTCAGGGGTGCCCAAACATTTTCCCTGAGAGGGCCAAAATTAAAAAAAAAAAAACTTTTTTCCTGGGGGGGGCAAAATTAAAAAACCTTTTTTCCTGTGTGGGCAAAAATTAAAATCAATCTGAGGGCTGCAGGCCAAATGCAATAATATAAAAAATGCTTAATACTTAAGTAAAGTTGTTCTATTTTTTTANAGCCACATCAATTTTTCAAGCAACCCATCACAAAGGATTCCTGTTCTTTCACCATCTTTTTCTTTTCATATTCACATCCATTCGCTGCCCAGGGAAGCTCTTCTCTGCCCGTGTGAAAGAAATATCGCTGCATTTAATGCCAGATTCACGTTGTACGTCACGCCTAGGTACACTTAGGGAGGCAGCGTAAATATTTAACATTGTATCATCTCGTCCCGCGCTGTCGTCTTGCAATAAGTGCGCAGCAGAACACTGCAGAGGGCTGTTGGCCAGTTATGTTATACTGAATAGGGCTGTGTATTGGCAAGAATTTGGCGATACGATACATATCATAACAGAGGGGTCACGATACGATATATCCCGATATATTTCAATACTGTAAACAAGGCGATATATTGCGATTTTTTTTGGTCCAAAAATTCTATTAAATAAAAACCTTTTACTGGGAAAAAAACAAAAAACAAAACGAAAAACCAAAATTCACTGTCTCAGAAAATTCTAATATTACATAGACATACTTTTGATATACATTTAGCTGTGTTCTGCTTTGTATGTGTTTTATTTTGTTTCATATTTCATCCTTGTTTTCAATTATTAGACCAAATTTGCCAATAAATAGTTTAAAAATATATTTCTTGCAGCTTTTAGTTTTTAATATTAATTTACAATATGGTCACCCAACACTTAACATTAGCCTTTATGCTGTCATAAAGTTCAGTAAACAGATGATATGAAGCTGCTGCACACAGAGTTTCTGGGATCAGCTGACCTGCATCCAGAACATTATAACTGTGGGTCGAACAGCAGGGCAAGTCCTGAAGAAAACCAGTTAACAGCAGGGCAGGTCCTGAAGAAAACCAGTTAACAGCAGGRCAGGTCCTGAAGAAAACCAGTTAACAGCAGGGCAGGTCCCGAAGAAAACCAGTTAAGAAATTGAGAAGCTAAACGAGTTAAATCGTTTTTGAAGCGAACACAGCAGGATAAAGTTTATGGACTTTTATGCGATGAGCCGGATATTGAGAGCAACAGACTGAGTTTTATGTCACGGGGGGAGTGCCGAGCTCGCTCGAGGTGATAGATGCATGCGCTATATGCGTAACGTGAAAGCTGACTACAGTTGGAAAAAAAGAGCACAAAACACTTAATTTGTCTTAAAATACAGACATTCTGACAAATAAGTAACTGTTTGTAACCTTACCTCAGCTTAGAAGGCAGAGGGTGTCGGTCTTTTCTGCTCAGATTCAGCTATCGGAGCATGAAGCTAATGTTTACTCACAATGCTAATGCTCTCTTACCCTCTAGCGCTCAATTTGTGTGGTTGGCTCACTGCTGCCAACTAGTGGTCAGAGACTGAACTACAACATAAAAATGAACGGCTGGCAGGAAAGTTGACATTTTAAACCTTAATTAAAAAATCGATACAGGGCTTTAGAATATCGATACAGTTTCGGGAAATGAAATATCGCGATATTTCAGTGTATCRATATTTTCTTACACCCCTAACACTGAAGTCTAATTTTATCACCTTTTTATGTTTTAAGACAACTTCAATGGTTCATCTTCCTGAGCTGTTGTGGATTATTCAGAACATCTCATCACAACCMCCTTTTTTCCACTTCTGGTGTATTTTTTGTTATGAATGCACATATCTATGGTAAAATAGATTTAGAAGTCAAAACAAAAAAGCCTATTTTGTAGAAGTCATTATTGTGTATACTCTGCTCCTTCTCAAAAGGATCAGACTTCCACTTGGCTTAGTAGCTACAGTCATGTGATTCAGAAGATATTTGCTTGTGCTGGAGGCTTGTTTCTTTTTGACTTCTGAATGCAAAGCAGTAAACATTCTTTCTATTCTTAATCCTGGTGATAAGGGATGGTTTTATGTAATGCTATCTTTTGTTGTTAATTGTTGTTTACTATCTTCCGCTTTTATTGTGGCACACCCGTAATTTTTGTCAAATTACGGTGGTTGGATGTTCAGCACTGTAATGCATCTGCAAAAAGCCTTATTGGATATGTGTTTGAAGGGTGGGTTAGCTGTGGTATTTCCTGTGGGAGGAAATGTATTGTGTGTCGGAGAAGAATGATAAGGTTCATGCAAAACACTTCCCTCTTCCATGAAGTCCACCCTCCTAATTGACTTCTTTACCTAAATTGGAACTCGTCTGTGGTTTCTATCCTGTGTTGGGACAAGTTTGACTCAGGCGTTGTGGTGAACGTTGACATTGGTATACATCTGTTGGTAATGTCAGTATTTTGGATACCCGGCATTTATTCATGAATCATATTTGTGTCTGCTTGGTACAAATTTTCTGGCCTTTCTGTTTCTACTCTTCTAAATCTCCACAGCAACATCCATTCTTCCCCTTCATAGCTGTACCCACCCCTCTTGTTTGTTGCCCAGTCCTCCCCTAGCTGGGCCTCCAGAGATAGCCTTTTGTTTTTAACCAAACACACTGTGTTAATTGTTTGACTGAGCCCCTGAACTGAAGTGCCCCGTCTGATTGCTGTGTGCTCACGAGATTACACCAAGTTGAGGAGTTTTTGCAGAACTGTCATGTTGCTGGTGGCGTGCAACAAGCTAACGGAAGTACTGTTCACCATTTTTGAGGGTTTTATCAACGAGAATGGACAAATAGTTTTGATTTGAAGCTTCTCGTGTATTCATTTAGTGTAATTTTTGTGTATGTGGAGTCGTGGCGTTTTGACTAGCTGTATTCTGACTTTGACAGAACAACTTGAAAAATTATTAAATGCCCATCACTCTGTAAAGATGAAGAACAAAATTAGCAACACATAATGATAATTGATGTGACTTATTAAAGATTACATACTATCAAGTAGGGTTGGGCATAATCGTATCGTGTGCAATTAATAGTCAGAAAAACATTAATCGATTAATTTTTGGCACTTGACGATTAATACGATTAATGTCACCAGGCAAAGTCCGCTCGCTGCTCCTCCCCACTTCAAATATGACGAACATTAAAAATAAAATAATTTATTTATCTATCAGCACAATTTAAAATATGATGTATAGCCTGAAATCTGTAATTTTCACTCAATTTGGAACCATTTTTTTACAAAGAGCAAATCTTTTCCACTAAATTGATCATGTGACTATGAAATAAGGTTGTCCAGGGACTCCAGGGGATTAATCGTCAAATTAATCGTTATTGGCTAAATACCACAATTAATCGTGATTAATTTTTTTGCCAGTATTGCCCAACCCTACTATCAAGATGAGTAACTTGGCGACAATATATTTGTAAGGTGTGCAGTGTTTGTTCACAAGGTAGAGACTTTAGATTGTCATTATTTTTTTACCATAGTGCTGTAATGAAAAACGACTGTAGTGTTATTCACAGCATTCATAAAAGTAGTCTAGAAAAAAACATATGTAAGTGAATTTACGTTCTCAATCATAATTTCAACAAATTCCTGGGTTTTCCAAGTGTGTTCAGAAAAGAAAATATTTAAAATACGTTTTTAACACCAAACGCCTATTTTGACTTACCTGAAACAGAAAAATGTACAAGTTATTTTTTGCAGCAGTTTTCTGATTTCTGTGAATAAATTGTTTTTACAGTTCACCACCTCAGTGACACAACTCATAATTGAAATTACTTTCCTGACCTACATATGAGTCTAACATATAGATCCATGTCCATAAATAAATCAGCCTAATGGTTCTTTTTAAGTCTGTGTTCATGCACTGTGATGGGGAGTGGACGAGTTGTGCAGGTTTAACCCTGTTTAAGTCCTCACTACATGTACGTGTGCCTAAACCCCAGGGACTATTCAAATTTAAGAAACTGACACAAAGCGTCAAGACAAGAATAGCGCTCCTCTGGGCTCCAGCGAAATATTTTTAACTTAGAATAGAGGTCGACCTGCCATGAGGGCTTAGAAATTCATTACAAAGGAAAATGCACTGGGAACTTCTCATTATTAGAAAGATTATTGAGTTTTGAGTTGAATCCATTTCTGGACAGTGAAGCGAACAATGTGTGTCATTAATACATTGCTGTATGCTTTGTTATGGCTTAAGATAAATCAAAAATATAACTTSTTAATGTCACCACTTGGATCAGTGGGCAGACAATAGACTTGTGCTCTACTCAGACCAAGTTTTTTATCTTGGCGCATTTGTGCAAAATTAGCATCAAATTTGAAGTGCATTTGATTAAGTGAATGTCAAGTTCTGGTTAACAACTGGAATGAAACTGGGTCCTAATTTTATGTTTAGATGAAAAACTAACAATGTAACGCAGCAGATTGGACTAATTAAAGCTTGTAAGCTGAGGTGCTTTCTCCTAGTCCCCTCGGTGAAGTCAGCCTGTTGTTCCAAGTCTTTTTCTGTTCTGCTCTAATTGTTTTAGCCGGCTCTCCCCCCCTGAGAGATAGCGGCAGTCTAATCACAGCACAGAAATAGGGGAATACCCAGAGGTTGCGAGGGAATCAGGTTGAAACTTGAGGCCTGCAGGAACACTGAGGTGATATCCCAAAGCGGGCATATGTGTGGCACCGTGTGCGCATGTCTGCTTCGCTAGCTGTCGAGATTATCATCACAGGAGCTGACCTCAAATTTCCAATCCCTTGAGTTTTGTTCCGTGTTTTCTCCTCTAAGATAAGTTCACGATTCATGTCGGGTTTCAGTTGAATTTGCTTTGATGAATCAGTGACATTTTCAGTTCGGTGGGTCCACAACGTTTGTATCTGGTAAATGTTAAGCTGATATTTCAAAACTGAAAACTTGACTTTTTTTGTATTTCTCAGGATGAAACTGGTGCCTATCTTATCGACAGAGACCCTGCGTACTTTGGGCCAGTGCTGAACTACTTGAGGCATGGCAAACTGGTGCTCAACAGGGACTTGGCAGAAGAAGGTAGTACCACTGCATGTCTAATGAACGCTTTGCTTTTATTGTAAAAGAAACAACTAGGCTGGAGAAAATACGAGTCTGGTCAGTAAGATAAAGGTTAAACAAACTCCTCTTTCTGGTCTCTTTCCTAGAAAGTGTTATCAAGTTATGGGATAATATTTTTTTGTTTTTTGTTTTTTTAAAGGTGTGTTAGAAGAAGCTGAATTCTACAACATCACATCATTAATAAAACTCATCAAGGACAAGATCAGGGAACGCGACTGCAAAACATCACAGGTACATCAATTTCTGTAAAATGAAATCTTTTTTTCCCCAGATTTCAAACTCAGGTGCAGCAGTTTCCATTCCATCAAACTCGATGTATTATTTCCCTTCTTTTCAGGTTCCAGTAAAGCATGTGTATCGGGTGCTGCAGTGCCAGGAGGAGGAGCTGACCCAGATGGTGTCGACAATGTCTGACGGCTGGAAGTTCGAACAGGTAAATCTCTTCCTGCAGGGCTCGCAGCAGCAGTCCTGTCATGTTCTTCACCCACCCTGCTATGCTCACGTTAACCCATAAAGTCCAATCCTTCATGTTGGAAATGAATTGAAAAGCCAAACGACGACAACAACAACTCGGGATCTTTCTCATTATGCGCATACATGATCCGGGCATGCCTTCTGTGCTCTGATTGGTTGTTGCAGCTTGTCAGTATAGGTTACGGGCGGGCCCACCAGTCAGAGTTTCTGCTGATTGTGTCAAGGGAGGTGAAGGGAGAGGAGTCTGCTTTGCCAAACAACAGCGGAGAGGTGTGTCCCACGAATTTCTGTCCACGGGCTGATCACTGCATGGTCCCCATGTTGTCCATACACACCCCTTTAGCCATTGTTTGTCCCAAGTAGACACGTAGCTGTTTTTTTTTCACCTACTTCTTTTCAGTGTTCATTTGTACTGTCTGCTCACCAGTGAAGCAAAGAAAACCTGACACCTTTTGTCCTYGTCTGTGATTTTATTTCTTCATTGTTATTGTTATTTATTTATTTTTGCTTTGCTTGGATGTTAAATTATGTGAAGTGATCTTTTTGCACAATTTAAATGGGGAAAAATAAACAAATTCTTCTCAAAACATGAGAATTTTTTTTGAAGCTTGACTGACTTAAAATGGAAAAAAAGGTTTATTCTTTAGCTAAATTTAACMACAAAATTGTTTTTGAATTTGCAAAATATAGAGACTTTCGCAGCTTGACGAGTTGTAGTTGGTTAAATTCATTCGGTTGCTTTTGCTGTGTCGATGCACAGACTTTCAGAGTCTGCTGTATGTGACAGCGGTGACTAATGAGGCGATGCAAGTCTGAATATTATGCACACCTGGTTACAGGCAGTACACATGTAGTCTGCAGCRCGCACACAACATTCAGCAGAAAACACTCGACGGCGGGAGCTGCTCTGTTTATTTTCTCGTGCTTTTTATCATGAACRGCGTTTGCTGTCAGATGCAATGTTTTTCTTTGTCGTTTTGTGTTTGTTTTTTTTATCTTTGTAGTCTTAAATAACAAGCAGGAGCAAAATGGGTGCGCCCATTTTTACAGTTCTTTGCAGACCTCAAATAATGTGACAACGGAAGTGTTCGGAGATTCGTTTGAATCATGTCACTGCTTATAGACCGTGTCGCAGCTTAAAAATAGGCGTGACTTGTCAGCTAGAAGTGAGCAGTGTTTTGTGGTTTGCGCTCAAATTTATCTTAACAGGAATTACTAGTTTTTCTTATCCTGTGTTGTGTTTATTCATTTAAAACCTTTCTGGTTCTATCAAGTCAAGTCCACCATTATTTCTAAATGTTTAAACCAGCATGTTTGCCTGTAGGTGAACCCTGCACTTCTGTTCTTTCTGTAGCTTTAGTGCTGATCAACCTTTTTTTCATTTCTTTCTTTAGTTCACTGTATTTTGTGGAAGAGTGGTCATTTATTTCACTGTGACTGCTTTGATAAATCACTATTTGTTTGTTTTTTTCTGTGGTCCCTTTCATGTTTTATATTTGGATTGTCTGGACTGAAGTTATTTTTGGGGGTAAATGTAAAGATGCAACTTCCAAACTTTAAAAAAGGGTTTTAAATGTCGAATGAGCAGATTTTAGATGCGTTTAAATATTTTAAGGGGCCTCGTTGCCCTTTGCCTATTGTGTATCATTGCGTCTTTCCTGCCCTATTTTACATTGATATCCATTACTGTTTAGTAGCAAAATGTTAAGTATGTAATCTGAACAGCAAACCTCAAAGGGCTCATGTTTAGATCGGTCCAACTTATAGACCTGGTTTTGTGTTCTGTGCTCCTTCACAGAGCCTCCTTGTTTGATTTTTCAGCACCTTTATGTTATTTTAAGACACTGTTTGCCAGTTTTAGCCTCGACTTCTTCGCACTAACCCAACCCCTCCTCTGTTCTCGTGTGTCTCTCCAGCTGGTCAGCATCGGCTCCTCTTACAACTACGGAAACGAAGACCAAGCCGAGTTCCTGTGTGTGGTCTCCAAGGAGCTGCACAATCAGTCTTACGGGACCAACAGTGAGCCCAGTGAGAAGGCAAAGGTAAGGCTGGACAAGGTCTGGTTGAAAATCCCTCTGAACACGGGTGGAAGAAGGCCTCTGTAGCATTAATAAGAGCACCACCAGTGGAGAGAAAGCACCTCTAATTTATTGATGAGAAATCACTATGAAGGAGTGCATCACTGTATATTAAAATGCTCGGGGGAGGGGGGGGAGCTTGAATAATTTCAACAGAGCATGAGGACAGAGCTTTTGTAGACTTAAACTTCTCTGTAGCTCCTAAACCACAAAAAAACTGTTTGCAATTGAATGACTTGATTATTGTTTGAGTTTTGTTGGATTTGACCCAAAGTGTAAAAGCTGCAATCCATGTAGGAGGATTGAGGGAGCACAGGTGTGCAGATTAGCGGAGCTGTTGGCGGGGTCCGACGTCATCTCAGAGGGTTTGACTTTGATGCAGACGGCGAGCCGAGAGAAATTCACACATCACACGCTCATCGGCTTGTCCACAATCAGAGCCCGCTAATTTAACACGAGTCATGCAGGAAGAGCATTGTTACTTCTGCTTTTTTGTTTATTTACTTTTTATGAACTTTTCTTTAGACAGAGAGACATGTAACACACAACTTCTTCATTTCCCTCATGAGATCAGTACCGAGGTTCTTGACGTTTGATCAGTTATACAAAAATTTAAAAATATTCATTTGAAATTTTAAAAAAGAGCAAAATTAAACAAACTTAATCTAAAAACAAGAATAAGCTCAAAATTGTTAAATTATTAACCCTTGTAATGTCTTGTGAGGACAAATCAGCCACACATTTATTTTGTTTTAGTGTGTGGTAAATAGACCTGCCTGTTCCTGACAAATCCTAAAAATCGTTAGAAAAAAGCAATATAAAATTCCAGTCATGTTACTACACTTTGAGCATGCCTTTAGTAAAAAATAAATCAACCCATTGAAACTCATTATAATTGGAATTTTTGATCCCATATTTATCATATATTTGCATAAATAGAATTTTTTTGTATTTAAAAAAAACTTGCATTCGGGATCATGGCTTAGGACAGGGCTATTCAACTAAATTGCTCTGGGGGCCGCAGTTACTGCAGGCCAACAGCTCAGGGGCCGAACATCCAGCAATTAAAGTCATTATGTAATTAAACCAAGTATTACAAAGATCTGTTACCTTTGAATTAGTTTATTTTGCTGTTTTCTATCATGAATGCAACATACAGAACCCTATAAAAGTAGTGATAATAAAACAAAAAGAACACGTTCTGCTTCATATTTACCACAAACAATATTTTGACATCTCTGACTCGCCAAATTTTTAAACTTCACTTCGCTTTCATAGTTTTATCTTCAACTGCTTGTAGTTTTAACTGTCTTGTGTTTTCATTGAAATGGTTTTTACCAGCTTGTAGCCAAGATTCTGACATTTCTGTAGATACCAAACATGTCTATGTTTAACTAGAAGAACTTAGARTAATTAAAGTAGAAATGCGGGTTTGGGCTTAAGAGATGAAGGAACCAATTGGCGGGCCAAACGTTGGTCACTGACGGGACGGATGTGGCCCGCGGGCAGCCAATTGAATAGCCCTGGCTTAGGATGTTCTAATGGTTGTAAGATTTGCACGTTTACATGAAATACGTTCATGTATATTTTAATTGTAGCATTAAAAAAACCAAATGTGTATAGATGAGATATTGTTTCCCATTTGGTTTAATTTTTCACTTTGTCCCCTATTTTTCCCCATTTTTGACATCTTGGTTGATTTCATCCCTTTACTTGTCTCCTCCTGTACGTTGGGCTTGCTGCATGTCACTCAGAGTGAGGACGAAGAGACAGATTCTGAAATGAATGGCTCTGATTAGGACGAGCACTGGTGAGTGCTCAACTGCTCGTAGTGCTTCCACCAGAAACCGCTTTGGTTTGTCCTTGCTTCCGCTTCCTGTCAGAGCCGGGAGATGTTCCCTCGTTTGTTTTCAAGAGCTGATAGACGATGCTTACACCAATGCAAAGTGACAGAATCCAGGCTGGAAATCAGCTTTGGAGCCAAAGCGTGATCAACGACCAGATGGTCGGGGCTGATGCTGGATGCCTGGCTGCAGGTGAAGCTGTCTTTGGAACCAGATGGGACGAGCTGCATTTGTTTCTGTCCCTTATAATTATTGACATGCTTGCAGCTTTGTTTAATGGAGGGGGATGCTGAATCATAAGCAGCTGCATCGTGATTCATTCTCCCTCAGAGTGACATTTACAAGAAAGAGCGATCTGGTGGGCTCCCTCCTTCACTTTACTGCCCAGAGTAGTGGTAGCTGGAACTTAAATGAGCTTAAAATTAGTTTATTTACTAATTTTTTTGACATCCTGCTAAATTGCTGTAGTTGAATGCTGCTGCAGAATGTTGTTGGTTCGTGCATCACTTCATTCAGTAACACAGAAGGATTACTTTTAACAGTTTAGCACATAATATCACACGAAACCCTTTAGTATCTCCCATTTTTAAGATTTTTTTTAAAAAAAGATAAAATCCTAAATATTACTAGGCAACTTAGACAAATATTAGGCTCTATTGATAGTTATTTTCATTTTTTTTTTAGATTTTAGTTTTTTAGGTGCTTTTCTTGTGTGAATATTTCATTTAGAACCTCAACCTCTTTTCATCAGCAATTTTTTTGTCGTGGTTTTGACTGTAAAAGACAAGAACTTTAAAAATGGGAACAAATGACCATTTTTAGAACACAAAGGAACATTTCAGATAATGTTTCCCCCTTGTTTTGTGTTCATGCGTTCAATCAATGGGCCTCATGCAAGAACATGTTCGTATTCTTATCCTAAATTTCTCTTGCTTTTGTTCGTACAAAGGGTTCGTACGAACATGTCACGTCAGATTCAACAAACTCTTCTATCTTCAGGAAAAGTGTGAAAATGAGCTGCGTAAATTACACCTGTTTGTATCCAGCTGCTCGTACACACGAGAGGAGATTAGCATAATTACCACCCCAAAAACACCATATAAGGCTATGTTTCCTGCCTCAGATATCAGGAAGTGTCCATTCATGAAAAATGACAGTGAAAACTAAAAAGAAGAACTTTACGAGTTCAGAGATTGAAGTCCGTCTGTCAGAGATCCAGAAAAGAAAATCTGTCATTTTTAGCAGGTCAGCTGTGGAATAAAAAGAGCTGCTAAAAGTATAAACAACTGTGTTAAATCATTTTCATTTATTCAGAAAACACAGCGCTGCGCACCGTACCCCACCGCCCACGTGCTTGCGGTCTCCAGTGGTCTCAGTTGCGGTTCTGAAATAAGCATTTTAAAATGTTTTCAAAATAAGTCTGGCACTTTGGAGAAAACCCAGGACTCACTGGAGGGATTATGTATCCCCTCTGGCCTGGGAACGTCTCAGAGTCCCCCAGGACGAGCTGGAAGGTGTCGCTGGGGAGAGCGGGGTCTTTCTGCTGCTGCCCTCGCGATCCGATCCCGGATAAGCGGCAGAAAACGGACAGACGGACAATTTATATTGTTAGTCTAAATTATTACATTTAAAACTATAACTCTAATTCAAGCAGAATAGCCTATTGTCAACATAATTATGACTACAGTTGATGAAAACTTTTACAAAAGTGAGAGCATTGGAGGGGTGGGGGGGGGGGGGTGGGGTTCAAAGAACGTTTTTCCATAATCAAGGTTAGTCTCATTTGATGAGGTTCCTCAAATATAAATAATAAAACAACAGATTTTGAAACTTGCTAAGACTGCAGGCAGAAAGCTGAAGTTTGTTGACAACGACTCTAAGATCATGTGATGTTTATGTTCAGTTAAACATCTTTTCTTCCTTTTTGTTCTGCAGATTCTTCAGGAACGAGGTTCTCGGATGTGAGAACGACTCAGTATTACGAGCTCCAGGCGTTTTCGGTGCAAACGTATCATCTTGGTGGAAGAACGCTCGGCACGGTGGAGAATTAAACCGGAGTGGGGGTGGGGGTGGGGGGTATTTGTGTCTTCCCCTTCATAGTTTGTTTTTATTTCTGGATGTAAATAAGCCTGTTTACTGACAGTTTGTGCCTGTACATTTTGAACTGGACCTGTTTTTGGTTTTGTTTTTGGTTTTGTTTTTGTTTGTTTTTTTAATTGAGTTATTGGCGAGTATTTGATTTTTCTTATCTGAAACTAAGGAGATGTAAATCTGCAAATGGTTTATGCTACAATATATAAATATACATATATGGCCATCATCATATAAGGCCAACGATTCACTCAGGGTCATCTAATGAGTTAACTCTTCATATCTTTTAACTTCAGGGTCTTGTAAGGGATCAGTGTGTTGGTTTTTTAAACTTCAAGTATCAAACAAATTCACTGCTCAAGAGACACCAAGAAGGGATGTGTGTATTTACAAGACTTAGACTATTAAAATATCAATTTATCCACAAAAATCCAGCTGATAGGATGTTAATCTGGAGATTTTAAATAGCTCCACTGAAATTGGTGATTGTATTTATTTTAGAAATCTTTTTTCATCAGAAGTGCTTTACCAAACCTCAGTATGAGGAACATCTGAGGCACCCCTTAAACATGAGAGTTAGGTTGTGTTGCCTTTTGTTTTGAGCCAAATTTGAGGTTTAAAAAATTGTCTAAACTCTTAAGGAACAGAGCAGTGAAACATATCTTAGAACCTAGTTCCTCTGACTGGTCTCTGGGRTTAATGTTAGAGTAAAGAGGTGGAAACATTACATTTTAAGAAACTGCCAAAATAATCAACCATTTCTAATGTGAGTTCTGTAAGGCTGCATTTTTACTCTGTGGAGAAAAAAAAAGATTTCAAGTCGGTTCATACCCCACCCCTTTCATTAATAAAAATTAACTCTTATTTTACACGTTTTAGGGAATGTATTTTTTATTTACGGTAAGAGGAAGTATTTGTAGTTTTTACTTTGTTTTGTTTTTTTTTTTGTTTGTTTTTTTGGACTGGAACTATCTTGGGTGGCGGTGAAGGACTTCTCTTCATATCAAAAGGATTTTTATGTTTCATGTAAATAATCCAAAATTCAATACTAATATTTAACTCTTTAAAAAAACAACAACAAAAAGCTGCACGTTTTGTACACTGTATAGAGAACACAGCTTCAAGGGGGAAGTTGTTTGTACTGGATCTTAAAACAAAAAAAAAGAGCAAACCTTGACAATGTTTAACTAGTGTTTTTTGTTTGTTTTTTATAGTTTGCGTTGTTTGTAGGGGACTTTTTTTTTAAACTTGCAGCAGCTGATGATGCTGAATCAGGGCAGTTCTTTCCACTGAGAAGACGCCCACAGAATATTTTGATAACAATAACAAAGCTATACTTGGCTGGCTATGAAATTGACTGTTACATTTTAAAATGAGATTTTTTTTAATTATTATTTTATAAGTGTAACATTCTTAACACCTTGAATTGTTTAATACTTAAGCAGGATTTCAAGCACAACAGTGGAGAACACTGTCCACACTGCTTGCAGCCTGTAATGTTCTCTATTGTAAATAATGGTTTTATTTTTAAAGATAGCTGTTTTCAGGTTTGTTGTGACATTTTTTTAATATATAGGTTGAACATTTCATTTACAATTAATCATATAGTGTTGCCTTTTTTTTTCTCCCCCCCCCCCCAGTGACCAAAATCCAATGTCTTGTGTGTATTTTAGACATTGATCTTCGTGTCAGGGACAAGTTTCTTAATGCTGGCACACTTTGTACATAGAGACTTGTTAAACCTCCAGTTAATCACATGCACACTTAATACACTTGACTAAACCAGTTTTTATACGGTCTGAGAATAAGTATGGATGCATGATTTATTTTATATAGATTTACACACAGATGTATAAACACACAAACACAAAGGGCTTTTAAAAGTGCAACCGTTGAGAGGATTAATCAACGTAGACTGGATTTCCTGCCAGAGCTAGGCTATGTTTACATTTGCTGTAGTATTCTGAAGCCTTCCAATTATGTACTCTCTTGCACTCCTCCACACATGTTAACCTCTGTCTGACTTGTGTGACCTCACCAATGGCAACTAAGCACTCCTCTCGGATTATCACTCCCCACGTGTTTTAAGATAACCCCATCCTTGTTGTAGAAAATCATATTTTTCCACATTTTATCTTCTAGCTAAGATAATATAATTATGTTGACTCAGAGCTAAAGTTTTTCTTTAAGGTATCTTTTCTGTAGTTAAATGTTTCACTTGCTTTGTAAGTTTATCGGACATATTTTGTTATACGGTAATAAAACGATTAAACTTTTTAGCAGCTGCACCGCGTTCAATGCTCTTCTCACACAGGTCGTCTCATCAAGTATCTGACATTAATAATCATTCATCTAAAGGACAAAAATTATCAAATCTGTAGCCTAATACATTTGAGTGCCCAGTCGTTTTTTTGTTTGTTTTGTTTTTGCATTAGTCATTAACCACAGACCACTAATGCATGATTGATTGATCACAACTTTTAATCAGAAGGAATGAATGTCATTTTTCCTCAAGCTAACAGTGACATTATTAATAATAATGGTTCTTGTATCACTACATAGATCACTTCTATATGATCTTATGCAATTTAAAAATGTACAAATTTAAGTATGAGGGGGGTAAGAGATCTATACACGGTCTTTCATAAGCAAACCCAATAAAAATGTTGTCATTCATATCTGTCTGTGATTTTTATTCCTCATTTACCGAATGCATTAATTTTAAATTTTTTAAATGGAGGTGCGTCACTAGAATTCCTCATTTGTCGACTGAATCGTTCCTAATATTTGATAAATGGCGACCTCATGTGTCGCATTTGTTAAACTCACTTCTGAGGCTTAGTAGTCTGAAAAAATGCCTGTTTTTGTGTAAAGATTTTATTTTTCCGAAGTTTTATATACATATATTGCACTAAATGGTGTTCTTAAATAAGCTACTTTAGCACAAAATTGTAAAACGAAAATTTATATAAAAAGTCAACCTTATCGTAAAACACACTAGTTTTGATAACGGGCTTTTTTTTTTTCTGATCAAAGATAAAAAGCGTCACAAGATAATAATCCCACTGAGAGTCAATAAGTATAATAGGTAAGTATAATAGAATGAAAGTACTAAATACATTTATTGAAATTTAAACAAATAAAATATATTACTAAAATAGAAGTTGAAATATATAGCTGTCTTGTACATTATTATTATTTCCTATGGTGCATGAACAACAATATTTACGCCTAAATTGTGTTCCAAACATTCATATTTTGCTGTTAGTTGTAGTCACTTTAAAATTATGAAATGATGCTTAATGCATACTGTCAGCACAAGTGGATAAAATGTAAAGCAGAGCCAGGGGGTTTGAACAAAGCCGGAAGTGATGGAGGGATAACTGTTTCACTTCGCTGTTTTTTTTTGGCTCGATTCGGAGCGGTTGGTTTTTCCGGAGGGAAACTTTACAAGGTTTAACGGGATTCAAGCACGTCTACTTCATTTCGTTTAATTAGCAAAGACAGTACAACCACACTGAGAGGTAGGAGCACAGACTGATGGCGGAGATCTGAGTTTTTTCGTGTATCGTGATATTTTGCCCGCTTCACTTTGCGCCATTTTCGCTAGTTTGGTAACGCATAAATGTGCGCCTTATAGCTCTGGCGTTCTTTGTCCCCTTTATACCTTAATAGATCGTGACAGGTTTTTATTCGTGAAATAATTTTTCATGTCTTTGCTTGATAAAACCACAATTAGAAGTTGTGTTGAGTGCTCTGCGGACGGCGATGAGCACTTCTCTCGACCGAAATTGTGCTGAAATCAAGTGCAGTTGCGCATTTTTTGTGCTGCATCAGGCCGTGTCCGACGCTAACAGCGCGATTCTGCTGCACATGAGTTAGCTCCACAAGCTAACAAGCTAGCTCCCGCTAACCAAACAGCCTCAGCGGCTGGTTTATAAACGCTTGTTTTGACCGTATTTTCACCTCGCAGCTCAGTGAGTATAAAAGAAATATAACACGAAAAAAATATGTTCCGTTTTGAACTGTACATTTTAAAACTTGTGAACAAATTGAAAGAGCGTCAGTCCTGTTTTCAACACCGGCGGCTAACCGGATTAGCTTTCTAAATTGCTTTTTTTTAAAACATTTCCTAAAGTTGATTCAAACTGACTAGCGTCAAGTGTTAAATCATCTGTAGTTTGTCAGTATATTTTTGTAGGGAGTATAAAAATAATGCGATGAACTGTTACTGTTGTAAATACAACAGTAGAGTCCTAAAAATGTTAATTTGACATTATTTTGTGTTAGCGGTCTATTAACATTAAAGATAATTCTGCTACATAAGTTGTCCAAAGTCAACACAGCCTAAATGAGTAGTGTCCATGTGAKCCTAGTCTTTTGAAGTACAAAGTGAAACAAGCCACATTAATGAACTTATTGGTACCAAATACACATGGTGGTGTAGTTTTAAACTTTCTGAAGCCTTGATGTTTCCACTGATCTGCAGCAGAAAGGAGCCATACCTCATCCATCATTCCTAGCAGTTCTTTTGCACTCTGATTAAAAAAAAAGTCAATGATTTTTTAAAAATTCACACTTGTGAAAATGAGTAGCATAAATCAACGCTTTTAACCAGCCGCATTGTTTTCAGTCATTAATCAGTTGGACTTGTTTGGTATACAGTCTAGGGTTGGGCATAATCGTATCGTGTGCAATTAATCGTCTGAAAAACATTAATCAATTATTATTTGGCACTTGACGATTAATACGATTAATGCCACCAGGCAGAGTCCGCTCGGTGCTCCTCTCCGCTTCAAATATGACGAACATAAAAAAAAAAGTTCTGTAATTTATTTATCCATCAACACAATTTAAAGTTTGGAACAGATTTTTATAAAGAGTAAATTTTTTTCCACTAAATTGGTCATGTGACTAGGACATAAAGGTGTCCAGGGTCTCCAGGGGATTAATCGTCACATTAATCGTTATCGGCTAAATACCACAATTAATCGTGATTCATTTTTTTGCCAATATTGCCCAACCCTAATACAGTCACAACAATATGCATCTTTAATTCAAATGTTCAAGATGGTTAAAGGTACAGGCGTTTTCTTCTAGTCTCTCTCAATCGTCTTTAAATTTGTATTAATAATTTTCTCTTTCGTTCAAGGAGTTCAAAAACCATGTCAGGCATTGCATTGAGCCGGCTTGCCCAGGAGCGCAAAGCATGGCGGAAGGACCATCCTTTTGTAAGTAGTGTGTCACAAAATTCACTTATGATTTATCTATTTAGTTCACGTTCTGTCATAAAATCTATTTTTGATCGGTTGCACTGTTCTTTTGAAATTTTCAGGGATTTGTAGCTGTACCAACAAAAAATCCAGATGGAACTATGAACCTTATGAACTGGGAATGTGCTATTCCTGGCAAAAAGGGGGTAAAGTGTCTTGTGTATATATATTTTTTAAACATCAATGTCAGCGGCTAATATTAAAGCAGACTTCTCTGAAATAGATACATCTGCAGCGAATGTGCAATTTAATGCGTGTTRCAAGGAATGTCCTATTATCTATGATCTTTGCATAAGTGTTGGTCAGTGTTAAGGGGTCAACAAGGTGATGACACCTCAGCCATCTGCCCTTTTATCTTGTTGTAAACATGGCTTGGCTTTCTCTTGTAAATCTAATCAGATGTGTGTTTTCTTAGACTCCGTGGGAAGGAGGTCTGTTCAAACTTCGCATGTTGTTCAAGGATGATTACCCTTCCTCGCCTCCAAAATGTGAGTTGACTTGTCCCAACATGTACTCCAAGTAAACACAGAAAAATACGATAGCATTTATTGATGGCGATGCTTTTTATTGTGGTATCAAATTTATTTGCTGAAACAGCAATGAAGATAACAAGTTTAAACCACACACACACGCACCACTGTTTTCGCTCCCCTCGTGTGTTTTTATTAGCAGATGCAAATTATGTCCTGATCCTAATTCATCTTTAAGGTAGTATATGTATTATGTTAGTATTATGCCCAATTCTTTAAAAGAGCTAACCTACTTCTTGATAATTGTATTGCAGGAAAAAGGGATAATAGACCAAACCAAGTAACTTGTTTTTAGAGGCAACAGTAGCCGTGTTTCCATCATTTTTTAATGYGCGTTTTGAAGCATCGCGTCAGAAACGGCTTGATTCGAAAAACGTCCTCTAATTTGCATAAAAGTTGATACGCTCACTTGAGRTGGGTTTTTTTTAAGAGTTAATGCGCAAAAGGAGAGATGGAAACACATTTGTCGAATAAGTTCTGACATAGCAAACATTTACCTCACATGTTGATGAGCTGTTCTCGCTGTCTGTCCGAAACCGGTCCTGGTACCAGAGTGACTGCAGCTGGACCCTCCTCCCACTGTCGGCGTATTCTCGGTTATTCCTGTAACGTGAAGAGAGTTGCATTTCTTTCTCTACGTCTCCAGACAGCATGTAACATCGCCAAAACTAGTTGATGACAGAATAATTACAACTTTCCTGACAGTAGCAACACTTTCCTGATAACTTCTCTCCATTTTCCTAAGATGCGACTTTACTTCCTGTTTACTACACGCATGCTTCTGACGTAACTGATTCACTTCAAGCCAGTTGATGGAAACACGTCTGATTCGTGTTTCTTAGGGTTTTTTTTTTTTTCTTTTTGCAAAATTTTAAAAATCCGCTCAAAATTCAAATTAGAATTGGATGAAAACACGGCTAGTTACAGCATTGGTGATGTTAAAGGGATAGTCTGGTCATTTTTAAAGTGGGTTTCTATCAGATAGTTATTGATAGTTGTTGTTGTCTTATCAGCTGTGACACCAAAAGTCTTTGTCCAATCTAGCCTAAAAGCTAGCTAAACTATGGACCTTGTTTGTGTTATTTTATTTATTTATTTATTTAGCTTTGTTTTGTTGTTTTTTGTTTTTAGGCTTACAAAACAACTTGTTTTAAAACAGCACACTGGTGTAAATGAATGCTACACTAGCTAATATTAAGCTACAGTTTGTCACACTTTTCTCAGGTTACTGTGTTACTACGTATGTGTGCTGAACATAAAGACTGTTTACGCTGATGGTGGAGGAAGCTGAACGTATCAGTCTGCCTGATCCACAYGTCTTCTGGTGAACTGGAACATTCAGCAGCGTTAACAGAAACTTGATGTCTGTGATCAGCACAGACACAAAGTAACGCAATCTTTGTTGGTTGAGAAATCGTCAATAAGCTAAACTGTCTTGTAAACGTGTTGAGATATATTGGCTAACATAGCAGTCTGTCACTCCTGTGTGTTTCTGAGAGRTGTTTTATAAGCCTTAAAAACAGTCCCGTGTTTGGCTAATATTAGCATGGATGCAAATGTCTGCTTCTTTCTACGTACTCCGTATTGTGACTGGTGTCACAGCTGATAAAGAACTATTAGAACATTACCACAGAAATGACCAGACTATCCCTTTTTAAAATATTGCTTGTACCCGTTGGGTGGAAAAACTGAAGCTAATGTCTTCAGCTGAGCAGTTCACTCATGGTGTAAACAAACAAAATGTGCATTTAACTCAGTGTCTAAACATGAGTGGCTGTGATGTGTTTTGTTGTGTTTCAGGTAAATTTGAGCCTCCTCTCTTCCATCCGAACGTGTATCCATCAGGCACAGTATGCCTATCTATTCTAGAGGAGGACAAGGACTGGAGACCGGCCATCACAATAAAGCAGGTTTGGATTAATGCTTCACAACATTGGTCCTGCATCAAATTTAGAGTCAAGTAGAGTCATTTAGCCTTTTATCCACCCATAACACTGATTACAGTCAGACTTGTCATACATCACAGGTTGCATTTAGAATCACAGTTTTCACGAAAAGCTCTAGAAACTGCATAATAAAATATTTGTGTGTGTGTGTGTGTGTGTGTGTGTGTGTGTGTGTGTGTGTGTGTGTGTGTGTGTGTGTGTGTGTGTGTGTGTGTGTGTGTGTG